TAGTCACCTGCAATATATAACATGAATTACGACCCCATATTTTAATGACTACTCCAAAGGTAATATGATCTAAGGACTACTACCTTCAGAGGAAATGGGACATTTTTGCATCATCTTTTGTTATGCCCTTGTTGCAAACACTTTGAGCATGTGGTCGTCAACCCTTTCCGAGAGGCTTTCTCCGGGTTCTTCTCATCATTTCCATCACGTCTCCTTGCTTTCTTTGGTCTTCCCGTACGAATCTTTATCTTCGGGGGATCAACCGGCCCAAGGTGGGTTTCCTCATACTCGTGCATGCCGGGGACGGGGTTGATATGGTAACTATAAACCCGTTCATACGTCTCCCTCCAGAAGCAGATGTCCACAAAATCGTTAACATTAAAACGGTGGTGATCGATGGCTGTAATGGCGTGGCAACATAGGTACCCACAAACTTGAAACATCCCACACGTGCAAGTCCTATGCCGAAGCTGAACCACATGATTTCGTTGGTAATGAATTACCTGCAAGTTTTCTCCGCCTCCCCATGACGCAAAACAGTTCCTGGACTCTACCCGTTGTTTGTCGATCTTCTTCACAATGTTGGGACAGATGGCTCCAGAGAATTTTTCAATCCCCACACGCTTCGTCTGTATTCGAACCATAAGGTTGCGCCTTATCCACTCCCACATATCAACAATTGGGAGATCTCTCACTTCCATTATATGCCGGTTGAAGGACTCGCACATATTGTTTACAAGCGCATCACTTTTGGTCTTCGGCGAGAAGTAGGCACGGCACCAATGGTGGGGGGGAACTTCGCTCAACCACGCGTATGCCTCTTCTCCAATCCCGTGCGCCGCATCGTACTTTTGGATATCTCTCATAATTTTCTCGTGCTCCTTTACACTATACGTCGAAGCGGCAGACCATAAATACTTCTTCAATGCAAGCCCTTTGAATCGAGCTTTGACATTTTTGTACATGTGTCGGACGCAGAACGTGTGCTCTGCACGCGGCGCCCGAACAGATATGGCCTCAACCAGCCCCTTCTGTCTGTCTGATATAAATCCCCACTCCCCGTTCCTGCATTCGCCTATATCGCGCAGCAAACGCTCTAGAAACCAGTCCCATGTCTCGAATTTCTCAATCTCGACAAACGCAAACGCTAGAGGATATATATTGTCATTTGGGTCACGCCCAACTGCCGTGAGCAGCTGCCACTTGTAAATTCCCTTTAGGAAGCAGCTATCCAGCCCTATAATCGTACGACACCCATCCAAGAAACCATCCCTCAACCCCGATTGGCAGTAATACATTCTACGCAAAACAGGAGGATCACTGTCGCGATTTACATCCAAGATAAGACTGCTGCCCTCGTTGTACCTGTAGACAGTCGCACAGTAGTCATACAACCGGTGATATTGCTCCTTCGTGTCCCCCTCAAATCATCTGCATTGCGTACTTTTTTGCCCGACAGACCTTATGCATACTAGCATAAACACGAACTTCCCGGAGAATCATTTTCCTGAGGGCGGGGAGCGTAATATCAAGGTTATCACTTACGATACTCTTGATTCGTCTTCCCAGGTATTTGTAATCCGCTTGCGTATTCCGTGTTTGGTGCGCACAAGTGTGAGTCCCTACATAATGTACAAGCAAACACAAAAAAATGTAATGTACAACTGCACCAATAAATCTTGCCCAAACAGAAATGCGCAAACAAGTGTGAGTACCTTTTAACGTCTTGATCTGAAATGTAGGCCCATTCACTACACATGATGCGTGGATCCTCCAAGCGCATCCATTTTTGCAAGCCGCGGTCACTTTTGTCCTTTCATTCTTTACGAAAAATATGTCCCATCCTTTGCGCACCGACCAATCCCTCAATGCATTCTTGTACTTTTCGCGGCTTTCAAATTTTAGGCCTACTTTTAAATCAACACAAACTAAATCACGATCCTCGTCCCATTCATGATACATAGGGGCCGAGGTATGATCTGTCCGAGGCGGCGTTCTTAAACATCCCTCGTTGTCGCTATCTGCATCGCTGAACCAGCCCTCGGACGATCGAGGTGCTGCCGTGAACCCATCTGCCTGCTCCTCCTTGTCCTCATCATCCTCTCTGTGAAGACCTTCAAATCCCTCGAAATCACGATCATTTTCGGGCAATTCATCATCCTCCCCATGCAATCGGTGTATCTCTTCTTCAAGTCCCTTAAACCCGGATCCATCTCCATCATCGTCATCATCTTCTTCGCTGGATGTGATGCCATCCCAACATTCGGCATCGTCTGTAGCTGGTGCAGTAAACTCTCCCTCCAAGTCATCATCCCCGTCCGGTTGATCCTCCATGGCCGTTTCATAACTGTCCTCACGGTTGAACCTCCCATCGTGCTCACCATCTCTTCCGTCAAATCCTCCATTATATGAATCGTCCATAGCAGCCGTTCATCGAAATGATAACCCGCACTATGTTGTTCCCATTAATCTCTACTTGGTGCAAAGCCGAAAGTATATTACGCACCGTGTTGTTTGGCCTCTCTCGCACCCGCAATATCTTCATTGTAATCTGTCCACACCGGTTCATCCACACCAAGATGCCCTAGACCGTCCCCCCGTATGAATCTTCATCGTTTTCGTCGTAATTCCACGTTAGCGGTCCACTACCGCGAACATCATCATCCTCCTCGTCCATTCATTCACCCCTCATCATCGGACTCTTTTCCTTCGGACTCCTCTCCTTCGACATTCTCATCACTCTCTTCATCCATTTCATCCCCATCGTCAAACCCACCATAATATCGCCCTTCCCCACAATCCATTTCCGAGGACTCAGAGTCCGAGTCCGAATCTAACTCCTCCACAGTTTCAGCAACTCGTTTACCCTTCACATTGTATAATTCATCGTTCGGATCAAACCCCCCGGTCATATTTCTGCCAGTCCATGCGGTAGAGCACTCTCCACCCAGGTAACCTCCCTGGTTCTCTTCCAAAGACTCGTCATCCTCTGAAGATGGCAGCTCGATAACCGCACGGCCCGGGGGAATCGTCAAATAACTTGAACTGTTATCTCCATGCCAACCAATAAGGGGCACCTGTTTTTCCAATCCTACTTCGCGCCACTATCTATCGCATGTCGCGATGGGCAATCCAACGTCTTTTACATAAATGTGTATGTGCTTCTCCCCTTAATGCTCGCGAAACATTTCCAAGACATCATCGTCGGTCTTCATTAGAAAAATAAATTTGGTGCTAAATCTGCAGGGGACCCCTTTAGAAGTGTGATACATGCGCACTGCAAGGCTCTTTCCACCAGTACGTCCGTAATATTCAGGGGGTCCCATAATAAATCCTGTCCTTGTCGATCTTTTTAAACAATACTTTTATTCCACCTACGTAAGGATGACCTGGGCTTTCCACTTGAAAATATCCACCAACACACATGTAAATATCAACATAGGAGTCTTCATCCATTGCTTCGAACTAACAAAATCCTGCAAGTGGGACAACCAAAATAGCAATTCAATTCCCCTCCGACTGACAGACATAAATAAACTATACAAAACAAAACGAAGATGGTCCACCCCCAGACAAAACAAAAAGTTCGATTAAAAAAACCAATAAATCCAAAACTTTACGCAGGCAGGTAATGGATTTTTGGGGAACACCATCGAAAACCAATAAAAACCAGACAAATCGAAGAATTTCTCAACCTGGAATTGCCATAGTCCGTGAAAGCAAAGGAAAAATGAAAAATGCCCTAACCTGTGAAAAGAAAATCCCAAAACAGCGAGGTAGAAGATAACCCGTGAAATGCCCTAAATCGCGATAACAAGTGGAATATCCGTGATATCGCTGAAGAGGAATGAATGACAGACCTGTTCTTGGCCGAAATCGGGACCGCGACCGCGACCGCCGGGGGAGACAGCCGCCGTCGGAACCTGGAGTCTCGTCTGGAGCTACCGCGACCTCGGGGGGGATAGTGGGGATAGATGTCGGTGGGGTGGGGATAGACCTGTTCTTGGCCGAAATCGCGACCGCGACCGCCGGGGGAGACAGCCGCCGTCGGAACCTGGAGTCTCGTCTGGAGCTACGGCGCCTCGGGGGGATGGTGGGGATAGATGTCGGTGGGGTGGGGAGGAGTGGTAGGAGAGAAGTGAGAGAAAGTTATGTGAGAAAATTAATTGAGGGGTATAACGGTCCATTACATATAAAATTTAACACCATTAGGTTAAATTGATCAATGGGGAGAGTGTGCAACGTTTCTGAAAACACAGGGGGAAACTACACAGTTTTTAAAGTAAAGGGGGAAAATGCGCGAGTTTCCAAACCACAGAGAGATATAGACAGTTTTGCCTATATTATATTATATAAATATATATATTTTAATAATTATTAAAATATTCGAGTCCAAGTCCGAGTTCAGTCTATCCCCAAATATATATTTTAGACATAAGCCTGCCCATTAAGAACGATACGAGACTAATCCGCTCATTTTGACAACCGCAATCATGCTCTACAGCAGAGAGGGATTACCAACCCTCTCCCCCCACCTCACATATAGTGTATATATATCATATATATATATATATAAATATACACATACATTAAGAATGTTCCGAGGCTAACCCACTTCATTTGATATTCGTGATCATGGTCTATTACAGAGACAGGGGATCACCCCTTCCTGTCCCACCTCACATATAGTGTGTATATATGTATGCATATGTGTATGTATAGTATATATAACATACATATGTATGTATGTGAGAGGGGTAGGAAGGGAGGGGCGCTGGTGATCCCTCCCTCTACTGCACTTCCGCCGTAGGATTGTAAACATTGGTGAAGCTTGTCGTTGCCATCAAATATATGTAAATACAAAATTTATTTTATCATACAGTTGGTTAATTTTTATGGTCGCTTGTCAATTTGTGTTGTCGATCTGGAACTCACCGGGACACTAGCTAGAATTGATAATTAAGTTTGCAAATAAAGCATCAATTAGTAGAATACAAATGTACACAAACTCAAATTCATCCATTATCCAACATTATTTCTTACACCAAAAATCACAGCTACAACGATCTACATTACATTAATTCAAAACAACCTCGACGTCAGAACATAACGTCGACTCTTAAACATAAAAGTTCATAATTGCAAAAAACAACAGCAAAAACAAAAAGGAGCAGAAATTAAAAAGAAGAGCTTTCTCCTTCTGGAAAGCTGTTCAAATGTAGAACTATTCTCTAAGATATGTGTATATGTATGTGTGTGTATGTATATACTTCATTCTCAGTATCACCAAAGACCGGGCGATGATCGATGTATCTGCCGATTACTTTTTGAGGGTTTGAAGGATGTATTCAGCATACAGGTCCCTGCAATAACCCGACATTTGGTTACTATGAGTACCTGTAATAGCACGACCAAATTGATTCATCAACTGTGTATGAAACTTACATGGAGTATTGGATGGCATCAACAGCTTTGGAAGAAGGCAGAAAATCATTCACTGCTACCTCTTTGTTTTCGTTCTTCTTGTCTGCATATTTATTAAGGAAAAAAAAAAACCAAAAAAAAATTGTTGGAGACTGAGTGGGCGAGAAATCACTAAAAAGGATACAATCTTCAAAGAAGCGCCGAATCTCAGTGAGACGATGTGGAGGAAGTTGGCTGATGTCGGTGTAGTGCCGATACTCCGGATCGTCAGCACATACAGCAATGATCTTGTCATCTTTCTCTCCCTAATGAGGAGAAGAATGTTTGGCATCAAGAATTTTTAGTAGACATAAATATATAGCAATGAACAAGAAACTTCAATTTTAGCTGGTTAAACCACACTGGCAAGCTCTATGTGATAGGTTCGACGATGAAAAAGACATTGACAAAATTCAAATTGGTGACCAATCACCCTACTACACCAACGTTGGCTACATGTTGTAGATTTGGATTCGGATTTTTGAATAGTAAACGTTTGAATTTAAATAATTGTTTGATGTGATGTAAATAGATATTAATGTGATATTTTGAATGTAAAATTAATTTTTTAAACAATATAAAAATATTAGTTATTTTATTTAATAGTTTTAGAAGGAAAAAGTTAAATGAACAGTAAAAATCTTATAAGAAATCCACAACATAACGAAAACCAGGCATATTGTGAACTAACATTCTAAAAATTACGATTATAGCTTGCATGTTTGTATTCTAAATATATAATTTCGAAAACTACATAGCACATTACCTGATCGATCATAGGCATCAAGCCTATGGCCCTGGCTCGAAGAAAGCATCCTGGAATTACAGGTTCCTACATAAACGATTTTATTTAAATATTATTGGGATTGACAGCATTTAGGCTTCTGTATCTTGCAGAAGAACGTAATGATACCTGCATGAGTACTAGGACATCCATTGGATCATTGTCTTCACAAAGTGTCCGAGGGATGAAGCCGTAGTTGTGAGGATAGACAACGGATGAATACAATATACGGTCGACCTAAAGTTTTAAGTTTCAATAAATTGAATCGATTGGGGGTAGTAAGTCTTCAATAGATTGATTATGTTGAATTGATGGAGGCAATCGATGTAGATGGAATTGTTTAATTCATACCTTGATCATACCAGTTTTCTTGTCTAACTCATATTTCACTTTGCTTCCTCGGGAAATTTCGATTACCTGCAAGAATTTGGCTATAAGTTTTTTTTCCCAGCCCTACGTTCATATCTCTTCCCCGAGACAACCATAATCAATACAACATTGTAAATCAAATTCTTATTGAATTACTGTTTGATCTAAATAACTAAAAAAATACGAAATAAAAGGGCATAAAGGCATGCCTAAGGATTAATAAAATGAGAGTAGAGAACTTATTTGTTTGAATAGGAGAAGTCATTTAATATATACAATAAATCGAGAGAAATAAATATTGAGAAATTGTTGCAATATGTTTATTTAATATTTTTTACTATTTAATTTTTTTTAAAAAAAATTATACTATTTCAATTTTATTTAATTTATTATTTAAATATTTAATATTTTTAATTTTTAAAATTATATTAATTAATCTTACAAAAACATAGCCTCTAATTTATTATTCCAATAAAAAAATCATTAATAATTATTTTTTTCTTAAACTATTCATCTGCATTTTTTTACACTTCATAAATGATGTGCTCATTTTTTAACAATTATTTCTCAACTAAATATTCTGTTTTACAAAGTAAAAAATAATAATAATTTTATTTTCTCTACTAAATTTATTTTCTCTAAAATTTGCAATTTGATTCTCTAATCGCTTATTCCTAAACTTGAAACAAAAGAAAATTCTACTTACAACATTAAAAATGCTGGGTGCCTCCGAACCTGCAAGGACATTGAATACATCAAATGTTGGGACACAGAAAGGATGTCTGAATTCAAAAGATACTCGATTTCATGACAAAGAAATATATATATATATATATATATATATATAGAGAGAGAGAGAGAGAGAGAGAGAGAGAGAGAGAAAAGGAGAGAGAGAAAGAGATACCAATCTCAAGGTCGTGCCAGGGATGAGCAGCAATTGACCTACGGGACAAAGTTGAGAGGATCCTATCGTTCAAACGGGGAGTACGAGGGCTGCCTTCATTGCCATCACCCATTTTTTCTGTAACAAGTTACTAATTACATTAGATTATCACTCATTCCTCAACCAATTCGCCAAGATCACCCCAGTCGATATGAAACCCTAAAAACATTGACAGTTCAGACAACCCTAAAATTGTGGAACTATTTTCTTCCATTTCTCTAATTAACCACCTAACCAGATCCGCCTAAACCTGAACCACAATCCTCGAATGAGTCAAGATCTAAATGTCCATTTGACAAATCCCTAAATCACCCACGCACTGAAAATTTCTATTTTTGTTGTCCTAATCCGATCAGACGAGGAAACAGCGTAAAAAATGTACATTAGAATAAGGATACAAACAAAGAGAGATAGATATACCTGACGAAAGGGGAGACGAAGAAAAAATACTTGTAGGGACAAATTGAAGATGAAATGGAGAGAAGGATACGGTAATAGCAGCTATGGGTGTCGGGGGAGGTTATATAGGAAGGGAAACTGTGTAGCATATTCGGACAAATGAATCCAGGTGGAAGGGAGGGATGAGGAATCGTTGCAAGATTCCATTAATAGAATACTGGGGTAAGGTAGTAACAGCCACTGACTTAACCGTTGATGGATGGATATGTGGACTTGGTCTGAGAAGAATATGGAAGCCATAGCAACCTGTTGCAACTTCCCTTCATTTCGTATTTGTTTCAACATCTTCACAGGTTGTCTGTCGTTTCATTGGCTGTGGATCTTTCCGTTGGAATAATGTTTACATTTGTTATATAACTAGATCCCTCGACTAACTTCATTCTAGTTATTATTGGGTACGAACAATGTTTTAATTTAATTATAACCACAAGTATAGACTCATTTATTTAAATACGCTAATTTAAAAACATTGCATAATACCAAAAAAAAGGGTAATGCCAATATAGACACCTTTATTATGTTTTTTTTTTAAAAAAAAAAATCTTCTATATTTAGTTTATCGTATGCTTAACTATTATGATATAGAAAAATTTATATGAAACTCTCGTTTCATTCATAGTTAACGGAGGGTCAACTCCACAAGATGTTTACACATGCATGCATTATAAATGAATACACCAAAATATCGTATAAAAGATGTAAATGCCCTCACAGATGTAAATAATCTATTCGAAACAAACAATTTTTCATAGTAATGGTTAAAGAAAAAACACCCAAATTATTTGTTTCAATAAATTATTTGCACCTATTTGCACCTACTAGAGTAGTTAAATCTTTCCATAAAATAGTTTGGTGTACCTTTTTTATATAATACACGCACAAACAATGCCGGAGACAAATGCCATGTTAATTACGGATAGAATGGGGATTTTATATTAATTTTTCATATCATATTTGCTATATATGCAATAAATTAAATATAGAGAATTTTGTGAATAATATATATATAACTGTAAAATTTACCTTACCTAAAAATTATATTTATACTAACATTTTGGTTACCGTTAATGCTTATTTGACCCAATTACCAAATATCTCTAAAGTAAATAACAAATTAAATATTGATATAATATATAGCACATATTTAAATAGCACATTATATAATTACATATAGCAAAATATATCGTGATTTCTGCAAAGTATATTATGATTTCAACGCAATTGTAATTTGATCTAATTAGCAAATGCTATAAAGAAAGTAGCAAATACTAATGTAATACTAACATATTATATAAGACAATATATGTTATCTTTTTTGTGGCAATTTTCTAATTGTTTCAAGTTATATTCTAACTTACATAATAATATGCTATTCATCATGTGATAATTTGCTAATTATTTTATATTAGTTTGCTGATTTAACCAAATTAGGATCCTAACTGCCACCTTATACTAAAGGACTTCCCCATATTCTTTGGGTGTGTTCGGTTGTAAGACTATTCATCTCATTTTTTCTTCCAAAAAATATCAAATCAAACACCTATTTTTTATTTTTTATATTATACTAAAAATCAATTTTACATTCAAAACATCACACCATTTATATCACATCATACAAGTATTCAAATTCAAATTTTTTACTATTCAAATCCCAATCCAAAATCCAAACCCCCAAACAAACACACCCTTTATATGCTTCAGGTCAGACCATCCCTAAGCCAAACCAATTTAAACCCACCAAATTTGAAGCCAACTTGAAAAATTAATTTCTTCTATGAAATATATGTGTATATATATACACACAGTACAATTACATATATAGCTGAAAATTGATGATACATTGTTAATCTCAGTGATGGACTAATGGCAACGACAATTCTGATGAGTACTACAGCAAATGAAGAAGGTGCAACAGTAATTGCAATATGCACTAGTGAAATATTATGTATAATTGTATTATTGGATTAGAATTTTGCCCAAATTGTAATCTTATTTCTGGAATACTAATCAACACATCTTAAAGTAGAGTACAACATAAAAAGGAATTAAAAATATAATTCATTGTCTACTACTTATTGCAACATAAATTAAGCATTTACAAGAATTAAAATTTTAAATTCCATTATTATTTTGACAATCACCTTTTATTACTCCCATAACATTAATTAGAATTAACACTTATGAATCTCCCTCATAATTTTGTCAATCAAATTAACATATATCAATCTCCCTCGTAATTTTGAACATCCATCAACTCCTTCATTTCAATGAACTTTTCTCTTGGTAATGATTTTGTCAAGATGTTCCTCTTTTGGTGATATCACTCACGTGCTCCACATTGATAATGTCCTTCTCGACACATCCGTGTATGAAATGAAACTTTGTGTCAATACGTTTGCTTCCACCATAAAAAAATAGGATTCTTCATGAGCGCTATCGTTGATTTGTTGTCCACAAGTAACTTTACACTTTGACCGGTAAAGTCTGAGCAGATTTCTCAACCATAAGGATTGACATGCTTCCGAGGATGCTGCCATAAATTCAAATTCACGTGAGGTTAGCGCTATTGTATGTAGTTTTTCAGAGGACCATGTAATTCATTTTCCTGAGAAATAAATAACAGTCCTTATTGTCCCCTTTTGATCATCCAAATTCATGAAAAAACTACTATCGCTATATCCAATTAGTTTTCCATCATCTCACATTCGATAGAATAGGCCATAATTCATTGTACCTTTTATCTATGGCAAAGTTTTCTTCACTTCTTGTAATTGACTTTCCTTTGGGAATGTATATATCTGCTAACCACTTCAACTGAAAATACAAGGTCGGGTCTAGTGTGAATCAAGTAATGTAAACTCCAATAAGTCGTCAGTAGTATTTGGCATCAACGGGAACACCACCATCATCTTTATTCGAATTAATCATTGGTTACACTAGCCACTTCGAAGGATTATAGTCACTCATTCTAGCTAAATAAAGTACGTTCTTTGCTTACTCTTCTTGGCTAAGTTTGATTCCCGACTTCTCTTGATGGACTTGTATTCCAAGGTAGTAAGACATTTCCCAAAATTCTCATTTCAAACACTTTGCACATCCTCTGTTTGAAAGCTTCAATCAGCTGTTCATTTGTCCTATTTATTATCAGGTCATCGACGTAGATCCCAACAATAACCATAGCCTCTACTTTCTAAATTTTGTAGACTGTATGTTCTTGTGGACACCGAACGAATCTTAAATCCTTAAGTGATTTATCAAGGCAAATATTTCATGCCATCGGTTCTTGCCTTAAACCATAGAGTGCCTTCTTTAATCGATTACATGCAACAATAAAACCCTTTGGTTGGGAGACATAAACCTCTTCTTTCAACTCATCATTTAAAAACACCGATTTTCACATCAAGATGATGAACTTTCCATCCTTCCTTAGTTGCTAATGCTAACAACATTCAATTTGTTTCTACCAAGACTTTTATAAAATCCACCCCCTATTGTTACATATATCTCTTTGCGACCAAACGAGCTTTGTGTCTCGTTACATTTTCTCCAACATTTTTTCTTTGATTTGAAAACCCATTTTAACCCAATGGGTTGTTATCCCTCCAACAGATTTTCTAAGCTCCAAGTATTTTTTTCTATCTATTGACTCAAGCTCGTTCTTCAATGCAATAAACCAATTTTGATCGAATGCAGTTTCTTCAAAATGCTATGGTTCTTCACCAATAAGAAGCAGATCCTCTGGTTTATCTTACATTGGTTTCCACTTCGATAGATATCTGCAAGATTTTGATACCACGAATTGGTGTATAATCGAATTGGTGTTGAACTTGATGATCCCACATGCTAACTTTGTGCCAATGATGAAATGATCAAAGGGGATGAAGTGTTTGTCATGTCAACATCGGAAGCTGAATTTTTACCAAAATTGTCTTTCTAATTTTATTCTTCATTTGATTTTGCATTGACTTGTATATTGCACCACCAAGGTTTCATGTAGACTGATTTTCTTGACCTACATCCTACTTCCACTTGACTTTCACATCAAATATAACATCACAGGCCACGTACAATTTTATTTTGCTTTGGGTTGAATAGCTAATAAGTTTTGTTGCTTGGTTCAACACCCAAATGTACAATTAAATACTCATGTCACTAATTTTTTAAAGTTGATTCAAAAATACTTTTATATGTGCAAAACAACTAAACATTTTCACATGTTGAAGGTTTAGTTTTTTTCCCTTCCAGCCTTCATATGGAAATATATATTTCAAGCCCTTTGTTGGAACTCTATTGAGCAAGTAAATGACATAACGAACTGCCTCTCCCCACAGATAATCAAGAACTTCCATTGTCTTTAATAGAGATCTCGTAACCTCAAAGATAGTTCAATTTTTTTTCGTTCTACTACCCTGTTTTTTGTAGAGTATAGGGTGCGGTCAATTGTCACTTGATCCCTATCTTTTTGCAAAAATCAAAAAATTGATTAGATGCGAACTCACCTCTTGTATCGGTCGGTAGTGTTTTCACCTTGTAGGAATTTTCACTTTCAACCTGGACTTTAAATTGCTTGAATGCAGAAAATACTTCATTATTTGACTTTATAATATATATCCATATTTATCGACAATAATCAACCACAAGCAATAGAAAACAACGATTACCTCATATTGTTTGTGGTGATATTGCACCATATATATCAACATGAATCAATTAAATTAATGAACTTGCTCGCCATTGTGTCTCTTTTGAAATGGTTTACGGGTTTCCTTGGCAACCATGCAACCTTCACATACTTGAGTAGGGTACTTAATTCTTGGGACACCATGCACTAATCCCTCTTGTACTGTCAATTCCAACACCTTAAAGTTATGTGGCGAAGTCTCGCATCCTATATCCATCCATTATCATCGAGGCTTAAAACTAGACATACCGGTTAAGAGATTTTAAGAGAAATTTTGTATAGTCGATTGGGGGTTTGTTGCACATTCATAAGCAATTGCCAACTCTGATCACGTACCTTCAAGTAATTATTCATCACTATTATTTTGTATCCAATTTTTGTTAACTGTCCAAGACTCAAGATGTTGCTATGAAGACCAGGAATACAAAA